CTTGGCAAGATGATTTTCCCCTCCCTCTCTGTTACCTTTTATACTTTGTTTTTGTTTTAGTTGCATTTGAGGGCAACTGTTTATTTTGGTTGGGTAGGGTGAGGTATTTCCATACCTACCTCCTTCGGGTTGTTTTTATGTATTGGTTTTGATGATGGTTTTGTGAATATTGAACTTATTGGTTTGGATATATATCTTCTTTGTTGAAGTGTGTTGCGGATGTTCTTAGCTTGTGGCCCATTTGTTTTAATGTGAAAAGCATTTTTTGAACAAATTTTAAAAAAATTCCACCTCTTGAATGTGGTTGTTCTTGTGCAAATTTGAGTATCGATTATGGTCAATACCGATGACTTGAATAGTGCTCTTAATTGAACGAAATGAATGTGCGGCTACGATGAGGAAAACTAGGTTACATAGGCAATATGTGAACTTTTAGCATCTCATTGTGACTAGCTGCTTGTCGGATGAGCCTTTTGTAATGAACATTGCACACTAGCTAGAAAGTGTGGAGTCTTATTTGATATTGGTACCAATGCCTTGTGTGGTGAGTTTGTTTTGGAACATGGCATTTGATGAGACCAAGAACTTTCCTCGATGGTCCGATTAATTGAGTGAAGTGATCAATTGAAATGATCTTAGGCAATAATTTTGAAGAGTGAACCAAATTTGATAATATACCTCTCTGTGGCCAACCGTGTGAGATGTGTGAACCTAGCTTGGCACCTTTTTAGCCTACCCTTTTGTTGGAAGAAACTTAAACAACTTTGACCTTTTTAACCCATCACATATAACCTTCATGAAGTATTGGTATGTTTGAATAGACAACTTAGGACAAAACCCTAAGTTGGGGGTAAGGTGAAAAATAAGAAAAGTCAAGAAGTGTGAAAAAATTCTCCCTTTGGTAGATTTTTTTGAAAAAGATGGAATCCCTCCATGTAAAAAAAAGAGAAAGAAAAGAAAAAAAAGGATTGAAAAAGTGCAAAAATTGTGAAATAAAGTGTGTCAACATAGTGAAAATGGGGTGTCTGATAATTCATGCCTAGCCGAATAATGGGGTAGAGTTTGGAACATATGTGAATATGAAAGAGAAGGAGAAAGAGTGATTTTTCATGCCATACTTCATTAAGGAAGAAGCCACTAAGCCTAAATGACCATACCTTTGCACTCTGCCCCGTTACAAGCCTTGAAAAGACCTTTGTGATCTTTAGTGAGCTGAAACAAATGTTGATTGGAAAACAAGGGCAAGCCTATGGGTGAAGTCATACATATGTTCATCTTTTTGAGTGTGATAGTTGTTTGTGATTCCGGAACGTTGAATTGTTGATGAATTTTGTGTGAATATGGAATCATCTTTGTGGATAGGGCATTTGAGTAGCTTTGTTGAGCTTGAACTTGCATTTGAAACAAGTATTGTGAACTTGAGTATATTTGATGATGGTGATTCATAATTCGAATCTTTGAGTGCACAATTGAGCATTGTATGTGTAGTTTGAACCTTTTGTGTGCATTCATGTTGAGTCTTATGCAGCACTATTTGAGACATCCTTATTGAACTGCTGATCTTGAATTTTACTTGAGGACAAACAAAAGTTTATGTTGGGGGTGTCGATGAGTCCAAGATTTGAGCTCATTTAGGGCTTTGTTTTGATAGTTTTAGTGTTCTCAAATGCATAATTTATGCTATAAACTGATGTAAAGCATGGATTTTCAGGTATATGAGATAAAGAGCAAGGCAAGGACACTACTAGGCGAAAAGGAGCAAAACAAGCTGAATAAGTAGAGAAAAGAGGATCCTGGTGATCGCCAATACCACCCGGTGAACCTCCGAGTGGCTCTTCAGCTCGCTTAATGTTCCAGTATGCCAGCCCTAGAGAAAGAAACAAAGTCGGTGACAAAAATGGGCAGTCGGTGAATCGGCGACCGTTTTTGTGACAACAAGTTGGATTGCCCAAACTTACAACACTTGGGATGATGATGACCAATGCAAAATGATGAAGAAAGTGAGCAAACGGCGGATCGCTGAACCACTAGGCGAAGCACGACATATCCCACCGAGTAGACTTTTGAGCCAAAAAGCTGAAAACTATAAATTTATTTTGAAAAGGAGTTTTGAGGGGTGGTTACCCAGATATTACAATTCTCTCTCAGATACTACAGTTCCCATTCTAGAGTAGAGTATTTCTCTAAGATTTTGAGTGCTTATTGTAGAATTCTTGAGGATTTTGACTTGAGTCTTTGAATTGAACCTTTGGACAACATTTGTAAAGGCTTGGAGACTATTATCCAGCTAATGGCTAATTGAGTTGGTAATTGTTTTTATCTTTTTATGATGTTTAGATAAAACCCCAATTCTTGGGGTGTGATCATGTTATTATGGGTTGAATTAGCTTATGGGCATTGCTAATTACTAACTTTAATGCTTAATTAAAGTGGGTTTAATCATTAGCTGAGTTTTAATTTCTGAATTGTAGTTTCAAATACAGTTCTAATTTTGTGTTCTTAGCTTGATCGAGAGAGAGGTTTGATGAGTCCACAAATTGGACTCATTTAGTGCTTTATTTTAATAGAAATAGTGTCCTCAAATGGTTATTTAGTTTAAATATCTGATGAAAACACTTGAGTTTCAGGTATTTGAAGCTTTAGTGGATGAATGGACACTTAGGCGCAAAAAGGAACAAAAATACTGAAAAGAACGAAGAAGCTGAAGCCTGAGAATCGCCAGGATGCTTGACGATTTACCGAAGGGACGCACTCCGCCCTTTGTTCCAGCACGCGAAGTCCTGAAGGAGAAGGATAAAAAAGGTGATGAAAAGAGCAATTGACATTTTGCCGATCAGTTCCGTGAGGCAAAAGTATACCGTCCAATGATCCAGAACGCACAGATACTGAAGGCAAATAACAAACGGCGATGACCTAAAACAAGGGCTAATCACCGAGTCATTCAGCGTTCGTGACAAACCTCGCCAGCACTGTTTTCTGAAGTCTATAAGTACTAAACTCTTTACTAGTTTTTGTGTGGAACAAGAGAGTCCGAAGATTATTGTAATTTTTACACTTTGAATATTAGCTTTCATATTTTCTCTCAAGTTTGGAGAGCGTTTTTGGAAGACTTGAAGAAGAAAGGAGTTCATCTTCCCCAAATTGGACGTAGGTCTTCTCTATTCTTCTTTCTTTGCTTAAATAAAGTTTTAATTTATTATACCCATTTGATTTCAATATCATTTTAGGTATAATTGATTATTTCTTGATGTATGGCTAAAAACCCCCATTCTTGGGGTGAGATTTCGCCAATTGAGTTAAGATTATTGTTGGGTTTTGCTTGCTGATAGGTTAGATGTATCTTAATGATGATTTCACCTAGTGGTTGTGATTTAATTTAATGGGTTTTTAGTTGCAAAATACAAAACCACCCATGTGTTTTCGGCTTGCTCGAGAGAGAGAGGTCGCGAAACAAAGACCTCTATACTGATGGCCTAAGGAGTGGGTCGACATGAGGTTCAGCTCGAGAGCGTGAGCCCTAGTCCCATATCCTAACACTCAGCTCGAGAGAGTGAGTGGGATAAGGCTTAGGCTGGTCTTCATGCGGCAAATGGGTGTCCGAGAGTAACTCATTTGAAACGGGGTAAGTTACTCGAGAGAGAACATATTTCCATTTAAAGCTTAGCCTAGTTACTATTATCTTACAAATTTCCTATCGAAAGCATGAACCCAACGATTTATATTAACTTGTATTGCGGTCACACCCCAAGAATTTCTCCTCATACTTGATTTTTCTTGTTATTTTTCATCATTTTTACTATTTTGTGACAAAACCCCCCAAGTCGATATTTATACTTTTGTTTCACCCATTAAATTTACTTTGTTTTTATTCGTAAATTTCTTTAACTACAACTAATTAGAAGGAAATTCTAATTACCTACAATTTTCACTACCACTCCTTTGTGACACGACCCCAACCCTTGGTTGGGTTACTATATTATCGACGATCGTAGACACTCGAACCATAGGTTCGTGTCATTGGTCACGATAAGTATCAAAATAGCGCCGCTGCCAGGTAGTGGTGTCACGTGAACATGTAGTTTTCTAGAGTTTTTGTTCTTTTTAGTGTAGTTTTTACTAATTTTACTTTGGTTTTGTTTTTCTTTGTTTATTGTTTGTGTATGCAGGTCCTCTGAGCATGACAAAGGGAGTAGGTGTTAAGCCAGTTGAGGCAGATCAAGAAGTCAAGGGTGACTTCGAGATAGCTGCACTGGTATCTCAACTAAATGACTTGACAACCAAAATATGTGAGGTGGAAAACCAGTTCAAACGCCAATGGAGGTATATACTTCCTCATGCACGGAAGAAGTGTAGAGAAGATGAGAAAAGTCATGTTGAGGACACATTTCAAATCATTCTCCAAAAGATCACCGATCAAGATCTTGTGTTGAACGAAATGAGAGAAAATGTTGAAGCGTTGAATCAATTGATTGGATCTCATTCTAGATCAATCCAACAAATCATATCACTCCTGATGTTTGCAATGCCTCAGCTCCATCCAAACGACATATTGCGGTTACCTAGTGACACTAGGTCTAGCTCCAATAACAGAGAGTGAGGCAGAACCTATATCGAGCCACGACGTTAAATAAGGCGCTTCTTGGGAGGCAACCCAATGTCGTAAATGTAGGATTTTACTTTTATAAAAAATGGTGTGTTAATGTTGCAGGTTAAAACTGAGCAAAGTGTGGAAAATTCCAAGTTGGCAAGCAGAAAATCCATTCAGCGTGGCGCCAAACAGGTCGGCGAGCCCGGCTAAATTCCGTCGTTTGACTCAATGCAAGAGCATTGCAGCACCTGTAAAACTCGGCGAACTCGAAAGCAGCTCGGCACATCGCCAACCTGTTCAGCAATCTCGATGAAGACAGTCGACTTCGCCCCTAGAAAATGGAAGATGTTAAAGAAAGGGCGGGATAAAAGATCACTCAACACCTCACCGAGTGGTTCGGCGAGTGTGAAAAATGTCGCCGAAAGGACAAGAACTGAAAGTTTATATAAATGCCAAAGGTCAAATATTTGAATCTCTCACTTTCCCTCGTTTCAAACTCTCCAAAATCACACCAAAGGTATTATTTTCTTGATGTTTGCCGTAAATTTGTATTTTAGTCAGTGATTAGTGCTTGGGGTTGGATTTTTTTGCTGCCTAGCATTACAAAAAGGTATTTGATCGGCATCAAAGGTTAGTCTCTAAAACCCCGAATTTATTTTTGAAAATTTTGTACTCATTTGCAATTATAGTATCATGATGACGTGTGCTGGGCCTCTCTGATAGGATTAAGTTTCTTCTGCCTTAAAATTGGTTAAATCTTGTGGGGTTGTGCTTGCATATTGTTGATTCAGTAGGGAGAAGTCTGAGTATCCTGAAGATATGGTAAAGACCAATATTGTCATGCCACATCGGAAAAGAGTACAACGTATCACTATAAATAAAGGGGTATCAAATCCTCCAAAGAAGGGCAGACAAGAACCTCCACCTGGAAATAAAGGTAAGGATATGAGGGCCTTACTGAGATAGAGGAGGCCATGGTAGATATTGCTGGCTCCTAGTGGATCTGGTACTGCTAGTCCTTGTGAGTTGAATCGGGTACAGAAGCCCGAGTCCAGACTAATGCACCAGGTACTGATGCACAGACAGATGGAGAGACTGCATAGGCAAGATCCCCTCTTTACCTCCTTCTTTGTCTTACTTTATTTTACTTTCGGATATTTTCGTTCGCATTTGAGGACAAATGATTTTTGTTTGTGGTGGGATGAGGCCCACCTTTGTGCATATTAGTTTTGTTTATATATTGGGCTTTGAGCTAAATTCGTGTTATACACTGCTTTTTGTGGAAGGTTTGAGCTTGCGGATCCTTGCTTTTAATTGAAAAATAATTTTGACCCTTCCAAAAAAAATTCATATTTCGAAAATTTTCGCCACCTCTTGTGTTGAAAGTGGTTGTTCTTGTACAAATTCAAGTCTCGGTTTCGATCAATACCGATGACTTGAATAGTGCTCTCAATCAAACAAACATGAATCTTCAGCTACGACGAGACCAAATAAAGTTGGATAGACAATATGTGAACTCTTTGCATCTCATTGTGATTAGCCATTTATCGAATTGACTCTCTTGTGATGATCATTGCACACTAGCAAAAATGTTTAGTCTTGTTTGGCTTTAGTGTCAATGCCTTGTGTGATGATCTTACTTTGAACCATGCATGAATAAACCTAGAATTTGCCCCGTTAGTCTGATTGATTTATTAAGGTGTGCTCTTGAAATGATCTTAGGAAACTTTAGAGAGTGTGAGCCAATTTGACTTATACCTCTTTTGTGGCCTACCCGTGAGTGTGTGAAACTCTCTTGAACACCCCTTGAGCCTTACCTTTCTTTGGAGGAAGTTTGATGAACCGTAGACCTTACTTCATTCACTACCTATAATCCTCTTGAGATGTGTTTAAGTGAATAGCCAAGTTAGGCCAAAATCCTAAATTGGGGGTGTGGTAAAAAGGAAAAGGAAAAGTCAAAGAAAGTGCAAGAAAAAGTCTCTACTAAACCATGGTATTGCAAAACAAAATGGAAACCCTCCATATAATAAAAAAAAAAAAAGAAAAAAAAAAGAAGGAAAAAAAAAAATTGTGGAATAAAAGTGCAAAAAGAAATCGGGTTTCCAAGCAATACATGGAGAGTGAATAAAAGGATGACTTAGAAGCACTAGAAGAAAAAGTGATAAGGGAAGGGAAAATGAGGTTTTGAGAACATCACATCTCATGAGAATAAAAAGTCACCGAGCCTAAATGACCATACCTTTTCACTCAGCCCCATTACAAGCCTTGAAAAAACCTTTTTGATCTTGAATAAGCCGAACCGAAGGTTGATTGGAAAATAAGGGCAAACCTATGAGTGAAAACATGCATTGTGTTCCTTTTGTTGAGTGTGAGCGTTGCATCTAATTCCTAATCTTAAATTGATTTACCCGTGTGTGTGAATATGGAATCATTCTTTGTGTGAGGGCATTTAGATATTGTTGTTGACCCTGAACTTGCATTAGTAGCAAGTATTGTGAGCATGACAATCTTTGGTAATGGTGTGTCACAACTTGAATCTTTGAGTACACATTTGATCTTTACATGAGTAGTTTAAGTCTTGTTGTGTATGTTCATTATCGAGTCTTGTGTAGCACTATTTGAGACATCCTATTTGAACTGCTAAACTTGATTTTTACTTGAGGACAAGCAAAAGTTTAAGTTGGGGTGTTGATGAGTCCACAAATTGGACTTATATAGTGCTTTATTTTAATAGAAATAGTGTCCTCAAATGTTTATTTAGTCTAATATAGAATGAAAACACTTAAGTTTCAGGTATTTGAAGGTTTAGTGGAAGCATGGACACTTAGGCGCAAAAAGGAACAAAAAGGCTAAAAAGAACGAAGAAGCAGAAGCCTGAGCATCGCCAAGAATGCTTGGCGATTCGCCAAAGGGATGCACTCTGCCCTTTGTTCCAGTACGCGAAGCCCTGAAGAAGAAGGATAAAAAAGGTGATGAAAGGAGCAGTCGGTGTTTCGCCGATCAGTTCCGCAAAGCAGAAGTATACCGCCCAATATATCCAGAACGCACAGATGCTAAAGGCAAAGAACAAACGGCGATGAACTAGAAGAAGGGCGAATGGCCGAGTCATTCGGCGTTCGCGACTAGTCTCGCCGAGCGATCCGCCAGCACTATTTTCTGAAGCCTATAAATACTAAACTCTTTACTAGTTTTTGTGTGCAACGAGAGAGTATTAACATTATTGTAATTTTTACACTTTGAATATTAGCTTTCATATTTTCTCACAAGCTTGGAAAGGGCTTTTGGAAGACTTGAAGAAGAAAGGAGTTCATCTTTCCCAAATTGGAAGTGGGTCTTCTCTATTCTTCTTCCTTTCCTTAAATCAAGGTTTAATTTATTATACCCATTTCATTTCAATATCATTTTAGGTATAATTTATTATTTCTTGATGTGTGGCTAAAAACCCCATTCTTGGGGTGTGATTTAGCCAATATGAGTTAAGATTATTGTTGGGTTTTGCTTGCTGATAGGTTAGATGTATTTTAATGATAATTTCACCTAGTGGTTGTGGTTTAATTTAATGGGTTTGTAGTTGCAAATACAAAACCACCCATGTGTTTTCACTTGCTCGAGAGAGAGGTCGCAAAACAAAGACCGCTAGACTGATGGCCTAAGGAGTGGGTCGACATGAGGTTCAGCCCGAGAGGGTGAGCCCTAGTCCCATATCCTAACACTCAGCTCGAGAGAGTGAGTGGGGTAAGGCGTAGGCTGGTCTTCATGCGGCAAATGGGTGTCCAACGGAACCCATTTGAAACAGGGTAAGTTTCTTACAAATTTCCTATCGAAAGCATGAACCCAACAATTTATATTAACTTGTATTGCAGTCACACCCCAAGAATTTCTCCTCATACTTGATTTTTCTTGTTATTTTTCATCTTTTTTACTATTTTGTGACAAAACCCCCCAAATTAATATTTGACACTTTTGTGTCACCCATTGAATTTATTTTGTTTTTATTCGTAAATTTCTTTAACTACAACTAATTAGAAGGAAATTCTAATTACCTACTATTTTCACTACCACTCCCTTGGGATACGACCCCAATCCTTGGTTGGATTACTATATTGTTGACGATCGTAGACACTCGAACCATAGGTTAGTGTCGTTGGTCACGATAAGCATCAAGGTTTCGGAACCAAAGCCTTTGGTTATTGGTTTGTAGGTGTTGGGTTTATATGGGTTCAGCTCGAGAGAGTGAATCCTCAACCCAATCCTACCCATCTAGCTCGAGAGGAGTAATCCAACCAATCCTGCCATAATCTACAATACATGCATTCAAACATAGGATTTGTGACGGTCAGTTGAAATCAAACTCAATTTGAATCATAGTTTAAAAACTATCATGAGGCTTGCCTAATCGGAAGGTAGATTGCATAATAGGATCAGTGAACTATGGTGAGCTTGTCGTATCACATAGTAGCAATTGTCGTATCGCATAGTAGCAAAACTCTTAGGAAGTAGGCACAAAGGGAAGGGAAATTGGCAGAATAGAGATAGTTACAGGAATGATCGTAGCGGTGTGAATGTGCCTCCAGGTAATACAGACCGTGCAAGTGGTAGTTCCAGCGGGTCTAAGCTGGAAGATATGTTACCTAATGTGCTCCAAAAGGTTGAGTCAACTGATGCAGAGGTGAAGGAGATGAAATGTGACTTCTCTAGTATAAGTCAATTGGTAGACTCTCACACCACCTCCATCAAACAAATAGAGCAACAGTTGGGACACCTTTCAGTATCACTGAACCATAGAAAGAATGGGTCACTACGAAGTGATACTATTCAAAATCCTAAGAAGGAAGGGCATTTCATGGCTATCGCCACCAGGAGTGGTAAGATTCTTAATGAACCAATTTTTGCAGGTACTGAGCATGAACAGGGTTTGGAGTGAATCAGAAGAGATGAGGTTGAATCTGAACATGTAGATGACGTGAAAGACGCTCAACCAATAGAAAAACCAGTAGGAGCAAAGGAAAAAGGGGTTGAGGGAACTATGCCTTTACAGTAGATACCAAGGCCACCTCCTCTGTTCCCTCAAAGAATTAAAAAGAAAGCTAGAGATGGGAAATTTGATAAGTTCATAACCATGCTGAGATAGATATTAGTGAACATTCCATTGGTTGAAGCCCTAGAGCAGATGCCATGATATGCTAAGTTCATGAAGGACTTGGTTACGAAGAAAAGAGCTGTAAGTTTTGATCTTACTAAAATGTTCATCCCTGCAGTGCTATTGCCACCAGATCTCTGTTACAGAAGAAGGAGGATCTGGATGCATTCACCATATCGTGCACCATCAGATCATTTGAGTTTGCAAAGGCCTTTTGTGATTTAGGGGCCAATACAAATCTGATGCCACTGGAAATCTACAAGCAACTAGGGTTAGGAGTTCCAAAACCCACAACAATGAGGTTGATGATGGAAGATAGATCGGTGAAGCGACCTGTGGGCATCTTATGTGACGTTCATGTAAAGGTGGACACTTTCATCTTTCTGGCAGACTTAGTGATTTTGGATTGCGAAGTGGATTTTGAGGTTCCCATAATTTTGGAAAGACCATTTCTTGCCACAGGACGAGCATTGGTTGATGATGAGAGTTGAGAACTGAAATTCAGACTCAACAAGAAAGAGGTAAAGTTTAAAATTTCTAGGTCAATAAAGCAGCCGCAAGACATGAATGTGGTGTCTGTAATAGAGGCCTTTGATGAAGGAGAGATGGGAGCGACTATTGAGGAAAGGCTTGTTGTCGAAACATTAGCAGCCATGTTGATAAACTTCAAAACGGATTATTGGACTGATTATGTGGAGACTGTGAATTCCTTACAGGGCATGGGAGCACATTCTTATGCTCCAAAGAAACTAGACCTAGATCTGATAAACAAACCAAGTCCTCCAGCAAAACCATCCTTTAAGGAGCCGCTTGTGCTGGAACTGAAACAATTACCCAGTCACCTGAGGTATGTATTTTTGGGTACTAACAATACTTTGCATGTGATCTTGGCTGTAGATTTGAATGATGAACATGTACAAGTTGTGACTGCACTCAAAAGATCCAACTTAAGGAGGACTATAGTCCAAGCATAGAAAACCAGATGAGGTAATCCACCAATGCAAGAGGTGTTTAAAAATGAGATCATAAAGTGGTTGGATGTTGGGGTTGCGTACCCTATTTCTGAAAGTCATTGGGTCAGTCCAGTGCAATGTGTGCCCAAAATGGGTGGTATGACAGTGGTGGCTAATGCGAAAATTGAGTTGATCCCGTAGAGACCAGTCACTAGATGGTGAGTTTTCATGGACTATAGAAAGCTGAACAAGTGGACCTTGAAGGACCACTTCCCAATGCCATTCATGGATTGGATGCTTGGCAGGTTGGCTAAAAAAGGGTGGTACAGTTTCTTAGATGGATACTTTGGGTACAACTAGATATCAATTTCTCCTAAAGATCAGGACAATACCACTTTTACATGTCCTTATGGCACATTTGCTTTCAAACGCATACCATTTGGACTATGTAATGCACTATCAACTTTCTAGAGGTGTATGCTTTCCATCTTCTCAGACATAGTAGAGGACACTCTATAGGTATTCATGGATGAATTTTCAATGGTACGTGACACTTTTGATGAGCTTTTGTTCAATCTTAGTAGGATTTTATAGAGATGCTAAGAGACCAATCTAGCGCTGAACTGGGAGAAGTGCCATTTCATGGTCAAGGAAGGTATAGTCCTTGGTCACAAGGTGTTTCAAAAAGGATAAGAGGTAGACAAAGCCATAATTGAGGTAATTGAAAAGTTGCTTCCTCCTATATGTGTGAAAGGTATTCCAAGCTTTTTTGGACATGCCAGTTTTATAGGCATTTTATCAAGGACTTCTCAAAAATTGCACATCCCTTGTGCAAGCTTTTGGAGAAGGAGGTGAAATTCTCTTTTGATGAGACATGCCTAAAAGCTTTTGAATGCCTGAAGGAGACGCTAATTTCTTCCCCAGTGATCATTGACCCAGATTGGGCTAAACCATTTGAGGTAATGTGCGATGCTAGTGGTGCTGCCCTAGGAGTTGTGTAGGGGCAGAAGCGCAATAAGATATTCTATCCGATCTATTATGTCTACAAGTCACTAAATGGAGCAAAGTGAAACTACACAGTCACTAAACATGAACTACTGGCTGTGGTATATGCCTTTGAGAAATTCAGGGCATACTTGTTGGGTACTAGTGTGATAGTCAATACGGATCATACAGCTCTGAGATATCTCATGGCAAAGAAAGATGCAAAGGCAATATTGATCAGATGGGTATTGTTGCTTTAAGAGTTTGACTTTGAGGTCAAGAATAAAAAAGGTTGTGAAGACCAGGTGGCTGATCACCTGTCTAGGTTGGATGCTGAAAAGAATGAGGAACTTGAGCTAGAAATCAATGACTTGTTCCCAGATGAGCACGTATTAGCATCAACTCTTGATCTTTTTCCTTGGTTTGCTGACTTTGCTAACTTTCTTGTTAGTGACTTGATGCCTGAGCGGCTGACATTTTAGCAAACAAAGAGGTTCCTATATGATGTGGGTAAGTATTTTTGGGATAAACCCTATTTGTATAGGTTGTGTGCTGATAATATCATTAGGTGCTGCATCCCTGAGGCTGAGATGCTACATATTTTAGAGGCCTGTCACTCCTCTCCAGCAGGTGGACATCATGGAGGCGCTCGGAAACCAATAAGGTAATTTAGAGCAGGTACTACTGGCACACAATTCAAAAGGATGCAATGGATATAGTGAAGATTTATGATGTATGCCAGCGGCAATGAGCTATTTCTCGTCGCCACGAACTACTAATGACGCCTATTCTGGAGGTGGAGTTGTTTGATGTGTGGGGAGTTGATTTCATGGGCCCATTTGTGAGCTCCTATGGGCAAAAGTACATACTTGTGGCAGTGGACTATGTGTCAAAATTGGTAAAGGCAGTTGCTCTGCCTGAAAAATGATGGTAAAAGCGTCGCTGGGTTCTGAAGAAGAACATTTTCTCACGGTTTGGTACACCTAGAGCCATTATCAACGATGGAGGGTCTCATTTCTGCAACAAAGTATTCAATGCACTTCTAGCTAAATATGGAGTTAAACAGCACAAAGTGGCAACACCCTATCACCCTCAAACAAGTGGCCAAGTGGATGTGTCAAATAGGGAAATCAAGGCGATATTGTCCAAGACAGTGAATGCCAACCGGGCAGATTGGGCAAGAAAGTTGGATGATGCTCTATGGGCATATCGGACAGCTTTCAAGACACATGTCGGTATGTCTCCATATTAGTTGGTGTTTGGAAAGGCATTTCATTTTCCGGTTGAGCTTGAGTATAAGGCACTCTGGGCTTTAAATAACTTGAACCTTCGTTAGAGTTAGTCTGTGAACTTGAGACTATATCAGATTAATGAGATGGATGAGTTTCGTTTGAGAGCATATGAGAGGACTGCACTGTACAAGGAAAGGATTAAGTTGTATCATGATAAGCATATTGAGAAAAAAGCCTTCACTCCTGGTGACTTTGTGTTACTTTTCAACTCCAGACTTCGTCTGTTTCCTAGGAAGTTGAGATCCAAATGGTCTGGGTCTTTTAAGGTAACTCAGGTATTTCAGTCAGGTTTTTTTGAGATGGAAAATGAAAAGGTTGAGAGGTTCAAGGCCAATTGTCAACGAATCAAGGCATACTTGGGTGTTCCAGAAGAAGTGAAAAGAGTGGAGGAATGTAAGCTTGATGGAGTATGAGTAATCAAGTAACCTACGTCGCGCCACGACGTAAAATTGTGCGTTGCTTAGAAGGCAACCGAAGATTGTAATTGTAATAGGTAGTTTACCTTTTCTCATTTTTCTTTATTTTTATAGAGTCACTGGGTGTTGATGTGTGTAGGAAGAACTTAAACAACGAAAAACGTAATTGGGTAAAGGAAGCTCTTCACGGGCAGTCCCACAGGCCGTGGTTGCCTTCACGGGAAACTTCATGGCCCGTCACAAGCACCAACATTATATGGGAGCTGCTGGAAATTGCAAGAAAATGGTTCACAGAAGGGTTCATGGTTCGTCAGACTTTGTACGAACCATCTAGTCTCTCGTGAACCTCAGATAAGTTTTCCTATTTAATTCATGTTCACAGACTCCTTTACAGACCGTGGTGCCCTTCACGGTCCGTCATTTCTGATCCAGCAGTACTAAAACCCAACCCGACCCTCACGTGACTAGAAATTGAATTAAAACATTATAAGCCATCCTAAGCGCCAAGGGTAAATTTCTTTCCTTTTTCTCTCCTCTATAACAGTTCTTAAGGGCATAAAAAAGGGTTCTTAATCGCTATAATTTCCATTCTACATCAAGGATTCAAAACTGTAGTAATTGGTTGCCAAGTCATCGAAGTGTTATTCATTATTTCTCTTTGTGGGCGAAAAATTATGATCTCATTCAAAGTAAGTTTCCCCATTCACTTGTTATAAGTTTAATCTTATCTATAAACAAGTTAAAACTACTTCTACTTGATCAAATTTGAGCATTATTTTTTGATAAATGATCTTTGATGATATTTACTTATGAGGGTTTGATGAATTGTTGTGGGTTGGTTTAAATTGGGTAAATTTGATAGGTCTTGTGTATGGGTTTGATGAAGTTGAGAGTAATTACTTTTAAATGTTGACATTAGTGTAAAGTTGAGTCCATATTGTATATAAGCAAGCATGACCATGTGTATTTTGCAATTTAAATTGTGGAAAGTGAGGAGTTGAAATCATTTACATGTGGGTATGCTTGAATTGGGTAGGAGGTGGTCCTATTTGAATGATTATGGTTGAATAGTAATATACATGCACTAAATTGTCATGTGATGTTGTGATAGTGTGTTGAATATGCGTGAAATGTTGCATGATTTGAATTTAGGGGATATGAGAACTGTAAATATGTAAATGGTAAGTTCATGATGGGATTCACGGACCATGAAACCACTCGTGGTCCACACTTAGAGTACCTAAGATACACTGTCTACTTTTAAGAGGGTCATCACGAACCGTGGTTCACTCCACGCGCCGTGAAGCCCTCCGTGACCACTATCTAGTGTTATCCCCATCTGCACCCCAGACCAAGTCTTGTTCACGAGGGTCTTCACGGACCGTGGTAACCACCACGACCCGTGTAAACTCGTATATAAAAAAATTGTTTCTGTACTTTCATTTCTGTTTCTACATCTCATTTTTGTGGCCCTTCCCAATGATAGATAGGGTGACGACATTCTTAAGGCAAGATGTCACTGTAACACCCCGGAAATTCTATGACTTAAGTTAGAGCCTCACCTTATGAATAATGACTTAAAAATAGTTAAAATTTTGTTTCTAAACCATAAGTAATGTAATTGACTTGGTTAGGAAGAGTAAAAGTCTAAACGTCAAGAAACGACTACGTCGTCCGGAAACTAGTGAAGAATGTGTTCTAGTGTGTCCTTAGGATTTGGGCAGGTTTGGGAGTGGCGTATGATGGTATAATCTTGTAAAAAGGTTTAAATTAGGTAAATATATCTTTATAGGGTCAAAACGTTCGAATACGACTCCCCGGGGCCACCATACGGGTCCCCAAGGAG